CACAAATGGATGAAATGCAAATGAAAACATGTTATGTGGTATTTAATTTTGTCTAGAGAGTATGGTACAACAGAGTCAGGATTCCTGGAGTCTATTCTCATTCAGCCGCTGATTCTCTATGGAACTTTGGATGAGTTATATAGAATCAGATTTTCAAAACTGGGGAGGGCTGGCTGCCAGTGGCTTGCTGGCTCATGTTTTGGGGCCACTGGGTCAGGAGCAGTGACTGCTGGCTCTGGGCTGGCAGGATTGGAGCTGGCACAGGCACTGTGGCCAGAGTCAACCCCTTTAAGGGCTCTGGGGCGGAGGGAGGGAGAGGAGTGTTCTTGTTTGAGGCTGGAGTCGTTATTCCTCATAGAATGAGGTTTACCAAATTCAAAATAAGCGTGCCACTATTTCAAATGTATTTCGAAATAGCGGTTTGGCTGTGAAGACGTTAGTAAAGTTAATTCGAAATAACAGCTATTTCGAATTAACTTTGATGTGTAGACATACCCATACAGACTAACTTGGCTACCCCCGAACCTTAAAAAGGGTCAGGCAATATCATCCAGGGCAGTTTACATCTGTGTATAAGAGGTTTGCGGGGAGGAGCTAAAACTCCCTCAAATTACAAAAGCTGGCCAGGCAAGGGACAATTGCTGGATGTGGCACGGGTCACCTCCTTTTGGTGGCGCATTGGCCAGGAGCACAGGAAGCTGCCTGGGGGAGGTAGTGGTGTCCAGACCATGGCCCTGCCCAGCATCACTTCACCTCTTCCCCCTGCCTGCCTCCAGTGTGGCACTATGGCTCTTCCTGCCCGCAGGCATGTCTCTGGACTACCCGTGGTGCTGCACTTGGCCAGGTAGAGAGCCTGGGGCAGGATGCTGATGGGATGGGTGTCAGTGCAGCTGATTACACAGCGCAGGTGCCCGTGCCTGGCTCCCCTCAGCGCTAACCCCGGGAGGCCAGCACCCACTGGCAATGTGAACCACATGAGCCACACCGCCCTCTGCACTGCCAGGGGAAACAGCAGCAGCCATGGAGCTCCTGCCTCCTGTGGCCTAGCTCTGGCTTAACCTGAGCTCTCCAGGGAGCCGCCCCCGCAAGCTGCCTCTCCCCCTTCTTCTCTCAGTGCCCCCTGTGGTGTGATCAGGAGCCGACCTTATTGAAAATAGCAACCTGGGTGAACTTGTTTTTTGGTGCCTCTGGCCCTTAGGGGTGCATTGCTCTCTATTGCCTCTGAGGGTTCCTCACTCACATTGCCCCTAATCCCTGTGCCCATGTGGGGAAACTGAGCCAGCTGCACAGAGCAGCTGGTGCTACTGCTCACTGTCCCTGTTCCTTTGCACCTCCATTTTCATCCAGTTTGCGTTCCCCATAAGGGAAAGGCAGCTCCTGATGCTTGCCTCACTGCTTCCTAAGGTGAGGAAAGTGACTTGCATGCACAGAGTGCTTAGGGTTGTGCCTTGCTCCCCCCTCACAGCCCCTTAAGGAAAGGCAGAGGAACATCTGGGGGGGAGGAGGGAGGAAGGCAGTATCTGTTTGTCACTATTCACCTCTTCCCCCATGCACCTCTGCCAGGAAGAAGTAGCGAGAAGTCTGGGTGCCCTCTAATGGCAATTCCCTGCCAGCTGGGATCAGTTTCTGACCACACTGGCACTGTGCACCTCTGTGCTGCTATATGGTATTACAGGGCAGTCACGAAGGGTGGCCTAAGGCTGAACCCTGGGGGTGGGGGGACGGGGGGGAAGCATAATGGGGCAGTAAGAAACCTGAAGAGGGGACAGTAAGAAGCCCCAGGGGACGTTAGGGTAGTAAGGAGCTCAGGATGGATGGGAAGAGGCAATAAGGAATAGCAGAGAACCAGGCTGGGGTTGGGCAGTGAAGAGAAGGCAGGGCCATTGGGGAAAAGAGGAAGCATGGAACAAGGCATCAGGAAGAAGCTAAGTGGGGAGAGGGCCATGGTCCAGAGCAGTGTTTCCTCTAACATTTCCTATCCTTGGGCGGGTTGAATTTTCTTATGTGCAACACCAATACTGAGGTAGAGAGAGAGAGAGAGAGAGAGAGAGAGAGAGAGAGAGAGAGAGAGTGTGTGTGTGTGTGTGTGTGTGTGTGTGTGGGCGCGAACACATAATTTTAAGCAGGAAAAAATCTTAAAACAAGGGATATTTAACATGGAGCAATGCATGCAACATTTAATATGAAATTAAATAAAAAAGAAAATGAACACTACCCTTGGAGTACATGTATCAACCTTTCTAACAGCTCAAGCTAGTACTTGCTACTTCTGACTCATAAGAGCCAGAACTCTACCAAATAGCAAAGATCTGGCCTTAATGCAATACAATATACTATGGATTAATTAGTAACACAGATTTTTAAAATATTAAATTCAGAGTTTTAGATACCTGCAACACTCTAAAAACATTCTTTTAAAAGAATCTTTTTCTTTTTTATCTTAAGCCATTAACACCTTATGCAAACTTAGTTTGAAACACAATCATGCAAATGTTTTGGCTCACGCACTTCCCTTGCAGCCTGCTCCCCCAGCAACCCAGTCAGACAGAGAGGACTGCAGGTAGTCAGACATCCCAAACAAACTGCCCCCTACCTCCATCTCACTGCACCAATGCCAGCACCCACTCCCCCTCTTTCCTCAACCTCAGCCTATGCAGTCAGCCCCTTATCTCCCCCTTCCCAGGAGGCTTGAGTGCTGAGTTTCTGCCTCTCTCTCCTTCTGCAGAGGGATGCTCTAAACCAGTGTTTCTGAAAGTGTTCTGCGAAGTCACTTTCAGAGACACATTAACTGGCTGCCCCGGGTGTTTACGTACTGGCGCTGGGCCACTGCTTCCCACGGCTCCTCTTGGCTGCAAAGGACGAAACGGAGCCAATGGGAGCCGTGAGGCTCTGTGGCCATGGCACCGGTATATAAATAAACCAGGGAGGTCAGTTAATGTGTTTCTGAAAGTGATTTCATGGAACACTTCAGGAAACACTGGTCTAAACTCCCCTCTGACGCCTCTTCAGCCAATTAATTAATTACTCCCTTCCTCCTGCTCCATCTCCCCAGCCACTAATTATCTCCTTATCTTCCTTTTTACTGGCTCTTGGACCACCTCGATTCAAGCAGGCAGCTAGCTCCATTTAGCTGCTTGCTCAGTGAGATGCCCCTCCACCTGAAAATCAGCTGAGCTCCCTGCCTGCGTGGGACTTCTGAACTGCTGCGCAAGCGCGCAGCTTACAGGGAACCTTGGTCCAGACATTGCTAACCAATGTTCCCTCTAATTTTTTCCATCCATGTGCAGAATAAATTTTGTTATATGCACTGAAGCAGATGAAGATGTGCACAACCAGCAGAAACACATGCTGCCAGCTGTGGTTCGCTCTGCTAATCAGCTGGGCAGCATCTGAATCTTGTAGCCAGCTGGACACGGCCATCCCCACCCCCAATTGGTTCTGGCTCTCTCAATACAATTTATGTTAGGCTTCCTGTTATATTAAAGCTGTTAATGCCAGACTTTGCTGAGAAACCACACTGCTTAATTATATCTGTGGTTATGAATATGTATTTAATCTATGGAATGAGTGAAGAAGTGTGAATATGAAACACCCAATCAAACAGCAGTTCAACCCCTGCAAAGTATGTAAATTAATATAATGAGTGGCCAGGTAGGAATCTCTTTTCAGCAGCGATGTAATAGCACATGAAACTCAGGATTGAACTAGAGGCAATAAGGCCTTCCCGTGGATCCAGAGGGACTCTAGGGATTGTCATGGCCTCACAATCCATCTCCAGGAAGCTTACACCTGGCCAACTCCAGCCACCTGTGAAATTGGAAGTAACCTATGCCACACCTGCAGCCTGCCTCCAAATTACCAGCATGAATGTGATGTGTGTGTGAGCATTACCGTACCCTTTAGAATCGGTGTTAATAAAAAAGCTTTAGCGCTGTTCTAGCCCACCCTTTGTTTGGGTTTTTCCCTTGGCTGGTCCAAGGACAGGTAACAAATCTCTCCTCGGTGGCCACCAAAGCATTCAGCTTATAGGGAACACTACCACCCGTTCCGCACTTCTAGGCAGCTTCTGGTGCTCCACAGCTTCCCCAAAGCAAAGATTCATGTAACACTTATGTGTCTATTGTTTCATGTGTCCAGTTAGGCACCAATTCTGAGTTGTTGCACCGCATCAGTAAGACTACATACTGCTTAAACTGCCCTCTTATATGATCCTGTCTTAGCTAGAGAAAGACTGATCACACCACTAATAGCATTTTTGCATTTTTTCCACAATGATATGCTCCAGATAGTCAGTTAATCAATTTATTACAAAACACTGTCACATAAATTGCAAAATATTACAATGCTGACTTTTTCAGTACCAAACTTTTCCTAGACAAGATAATTTCTTCATCTCTTTGCCCTTCTTCCTTCCTGACCACTTTTCAAAAATTAACTCATTTCAGACGTAAGGCTTTAGAGTTGAGAGAAAAAGATAAAAGAAGAGAATGCAATAGATAATGTGGTCATGTGCTAACTGTAAATTTTTTGAGTGTACCAACCTGAGGAGAGGGGGAAATATCAGCAACTGGACAAAATGACAACTGAGCTGAGTGTCAGTAACACAGACCCGCTGTTTTTGTTTCTGCTTTGACATTCTACTGCTAGAGAAAAACTTCAATATAAAGAGTATTTTAAAAGCATAGATAAACATAACTTCAGTGGGTGGAGGATCTGGCCCTTAATCTTCAAAATATTGTGAAATGTACTAAAATGTGTACCTTTAGATTACAGCATTGTGCTAATGTGGGCTCAGGTAGGCAAATGCATACATTCTTGAGCCATCAAGGAAGCCCAAAAGCCAGACAAAATCTTTAGCTGCAGAAGCTGAAGCAACAGAAGCCACACCAGATCCAGGGAATAAGCACCCAACTGGGGGTCTCTCTATTCTTCTCCACAGATCTAGTCTTGACATAAGGGGCATCTTCCATAGGTCAGGTTCCTCACAATCCCCTCCCCAATCATATGGATCAGAGAAGGTAAAATCAGGACCTTTAGGAATGAAACAAGGTCACAAATCCATAAAACACTTGTCCCATGGTGTCCAACCAGTTCTGAAGCAGTGGCTGCTGCTATAGTGAACTAGCCACATCCAACCTGCCAAATAGCCACAAGTGACTAGTGGCTAGCATGTTGGACACCATGGCACTTGTCCTACAGCAGAACAGAAGAAGCAGCCCCCAGAGCAGGCAATTTAGGGTACAACTGAAGGTTTCCCTAACTGTTTCCACAGATCTAATGTGAGGTTAAGCCCCACCCAGTACTTTCCCTGCAGTCATAGATGGGTAGGAAGATAAAAGTGAGAACCTTTAGGAGGGAGCAAGCCCAGAAAATGAACAGAGCTTCTCTAGCAACAGAAGAGGAAGGAACAGACCTTCATGGGCCTCAGCACAGTTGTGATTCTCCACTGCCCTGAACTTCTGAAACGCCAGACTTACTGTGGTGTCAGATGAATCAAATCCCAGGAGATCAGAATTTGGAGTGATCAGGTTCAAAAACAAAACAATTTTTTACCTTCATAATAGCCAGCTAAACCCCAAGTTTATCTCTGGTAATAGGGAGGATCATGAAGATACCATGGTAGGCAGAAGGAGGAACCTGCAAGATCACTGGAGGGGAAGGGGGAAAAAATCAGAAGAATGGAAATATATCAAGTGAATATCCACTAGTGAAAAGCATAACCCGACTCAATATCCAGTCCAGCCGAAACCTCTAGTGATGAGTGCCTTCTACCCAGCCCTCTCTTCCTGGCTTCCAAACCCTTCTTCAACTTCCTCAGTGACAAGCACTTCCAAGCCAACCACTACCTCCGTCCTTCTGTTGATAAATCCTCCTGTACCTACTAACATTAAAACCCCGCCAAACCCACACATCTCCAGCTATGAACCTCTTTTGCACATCCCTGACTGCACATTATAATACAGGTTGCACCTTTATAAACCAGGACTCTTTAGTGTGGCAACATCAATGGTCCAGAAGGACCATGGATGTTCCAGGATCAGAGAGTCCCTGCACACTGCGGTGGGTGGGGGGGTGGCTGGGAGCCCATCATGATGTAGGGGTGCCCAGTGAGCAGGCCAGCTAGGCTGCCCAGGGGGCGGGCACTGGAAACCAGGAACTCGCTGTATTGCTGGGGGCAGTCTGGGAGCCTGGAAGGTCGGAGCATGACCCATCAGGGCTGCCCGGAAAAGCCAGTGGAGCAGCAGGTTATGGGGTGGGGCCAGCAGCAGGGGGGTCAGAAATGATCTTCCCAGTCTGGCAAAATCCCTCATCTAGGACCACTCAGGTCCTGAGGGTGCTGAACCAGAAAGGTCCAACCTGTATTAAGAAAAATGCTTTTTTTTAGGCTCCTGTGAAGTGAGCCAGAAGTTCCCTATCTTCTTCTCATCCCCCAGTCTGAAACCTGGGCCTCCTGTTCATGGAATTCAGGCAAACAGAAGTACCTTTTGGTGGTTTGCTCTTTCCTTCACAAAGGAGCAGAGCCAAGGGGCACCAACATGTTTCTATTACAATACCAAAGATGTAGATGCAGGAAACCCTGATAGAGGCAGCACTAGCTCTGACTACTGAAACCATCGCGGCTACAGATCTGTATGAAGGCACCTGTTTTCCTCCCCCCTGCCAATTAATTTCCCCCTTTCATATTGTCATATTAGTAATGACCTCTCAGGCATAGGGGACTAGTTTGTACGAAGCCAAATTGAACATGGCCCATGATCCCTGCTGGTATTGTCGTACTACCTAAGGACCTCAAATATAATATGAGAAGAGCAGAAAAACAGAGGAGGGAGTTGGAATACATGTGCTTTCACACACACCCTTAACAAAGACTTGTGCATAACATTTGCCATGACCTGTGTTTCAGTCATCACAGAGCAGGACAGAAAAATAGTTACACCTACTGCACCTACTGCCTCTTCTGTTTTCTTATGAGAGTGCTTGGTCAGATATGCGAGACATGGCTTCTTCGTTTAATTCTTTAACTTTGATTTGGCATTTTACTTCAGTCACCAGGCAACCTGAACTCTCATCCCTGGTGCATTTGTAATTCTAGATTTCTAAAGAATGTGCAGACCCTCTGTGAAGAATCCTCAGAACAGCTAATGCTGCAGCAGCACATTCCATTCTCTATTACAAACACAACAGATTTCCACAGAGGGTGGGGGAGGGGGGAAATCTGCGACTTTTCTCCTTCATGCTTCCAAACCAAACCAAAGACCATTCTTTATTCTCTGAGTCAAAAGGAAAGGAGAGAAACGCTTTACAAACATTCCTCCAGAACCACCTGTTAGAACAGGGCTACTCAACTTTGGAAGCCCCAGGGGCCACAATGATACTTACAGCACATGCCAAGGGCTGCAACTTAAGTGTGGTTGCATATACATGCAAAATATATGCAAATATATGGAAATAGATTTTTTTCACACTGATGGGCCTGAATACAAAGATTAAGCCTTAAGCTGTGCTACTGGACCCAAATGTGGCCAGCGTGAGCCAGTCAGCACCTCTGAGGCTCTGCCCACAAGGCTAAGCAGAGAGCACTTCCCCCAATGCCCCGGCGCTCCTGGCACCTCCTCCCTGGGGGCTAGAAATGCTGACACCCTGTACCCATCTGTTCCAGCCAGCCCGTCCACTTGTGTCTTTCAGTGCTCACCCCGCCTGGGAGATGCTTCACCATTGTGGAGCATGTTCCCAGTGGAGGCCATATTCAAAGGATCCAACCCTCAGGCTGCGTGTTGAGCCCCGCGTAAACCCAAACCACACCGCGGGCCGCAAACAAACAGGCCACCTGTTGAGTAGCCCTGTGTTAGAAAATAAATTGGGGAAAGGAGACTGCACATTTGTAACAATTAATGTACAGAGTGATATATCTAAAGTCAGAAGGGACCACTGTAAGGCTGTGTCTACACTGCACCCCTTTTCCGGAAAAGGAATGCAGATGAGACAAGTCGGAATTGCAAATGAAGCGGGGGATTTAAATATCCCTCGCTTCATTTGTATAAACATGGCTGCCGCTTTTTTCCGGCTCGGGGCTTTGCTGGAGAAAAGCGCCAGTCTAGACAGGATCTTTTGGAAAATAAAGCCTTTTCCGAAAGGTCCCTTATTCCTCTTAAAATCAGGAAAAAGGGACCTTTCAGAAAAGGCTTTATTTTCCGAAAGATCCCGTCTAGACTAGTGCTTTTCTCCGGCAAAGCCCCGAGCCGGAAAAAAGCGGCAGCCATGTTTATACAAATGAAGCGGGGGATATTTAAATCCCCCGCTTCATTTGCAATTCCGACTTGTCTCATCTGCATCCCTTTTCCGGAAAAGGGGTGTAGTGTAGACACAGCCGAAGCGTGTAATCTGACACATAACACAGCCCACAGAATTGCACCCAGTGATTCCTGCAATGGTGGAAATTATTCTTCCCTACCATGTAACTGAAAGCTACTGAGCTCAATAACATACAGTTAGAATAGAGCATGTCTTGTAAAAAGTCATGCCTTGTGCAAGAGATAGCTTTAGCTTCCACCCCTTCCAGACAGGATGCAAATAAAAGCAAAATTCCACCTAAAAAATCATATGGGGAAAAAGAGAAAGTTTAATCAACAGAGAATACACTAAACTCATTACATAATCCCTCCACGCATTAATTTTTTTCTTTTTTTACAAAGTTCCTGATCTAAAACAAAGTTTTTCATTTTTATTCTATACAGTAGAAAGCATTGTAATGACTGTCTGATATGGTAACAGGGTAGCGTCTCTTTTCCTTTCTTGGAGCAAACACTGGAATGATGGCTATGCTGTATGAAGTTTCAAGACCCCAGAAAGTCAGAATGTTGTTACGGCATAGTTAGCAGCACGAACAGCTAAATAGCTACACGTTTCAAGTGTGCTTCGCAGATAGAAATGAACTAAAGATTTTGCTCTTAAAATGGGATTAAAATAGTATCCAATATACCTCCTAAAAAACCCTCCTATAGCGTAAAAAAGAACCTTGTTCAATGGACAGTGCAGCATTTCACACATAAGCATACTACAGTGACTGAGAGCTGAGTTTCAGTACAAATATTGTAAACTTACTGCACATACCCTTTGAAACCAATAAAAAAAAAGTAGAATGTCTTAGTTTAACTACAGAATTACATCTAAACTCCACAGTCAGCAATCACAATTATACTTGAATTTCATTATAGGCACATTCCTGAAACTATTTTACTAAAGCAATTGTTTAAAGGCCTATTAGTATTCAGATTTAGTAGAAAGTCAAATTGTTATTGAGTCTAAATGGCTTCATAAATTATATGCTATCATTTGTGCAATTTAATGTTCTTTCCTTTCACTTTGAAGCCAGGAATATAAAACTATACACACACACACTCACTTTCTAGGTGAAAGAAACACTCCTGAAAGTAAGCTCTGAAGAACTGAACAGCATTGTACATAATGCAAGTAGGTACATCAATTAGACCCTTTTAAGGCTTGATCTTCTGAAATGTTGAGCTCAATGGGAGTTTATGAATGCTTGGCACTTTGCAGGAAGTGTTTTGTACTTCAGAGGATCAGGCCCTTACGTGAGCTTTAGCTGCTTTTAACAAAGCTCAGTGGACCAAATTAGTCACAGGAATTGCACCTGCATACAGAAGGTTTGAACCCAGCCCATTGTTCATACATCCTGCACATTTTAATCATTTCTGAGCCCTTCCATGATGCATTGACTATTTGCTTCCAACTTTATAATATGTGATCCAATCAGTGAATTTTCTTAGGAACTAACAGTAACAAAATCTTTTCACGTTTCACTGTAATCTCTATATGCAATACCTTTCTGCATTACACAGTTATATCCCAAGGCCAATAGCTGTTGTTTTGAAAAGTGAAGACTGAAAAGTAAGAGACAAAGTCCATGCCATAGTAGAGAAGTGGACACTTCTTAGTCTAGACTTCCTAAAGTACAAAGGTAAGAACAGTCTAAGTAAATGTCTATACAGAAAATAGAAATAGGCCTAACATTGCTTATTATAAACAAAGAAAGTCATTAGTGGACACAGAGTTAAACAGTTTCATGATTAGATGATCCTTTGTGTTTCTGTAGAAAGAAACAACAGCATGGCATCTAATATGAGACAGAGTTTGAGAAGGCTGATTTCAATTATCTACTCATCCACGATGCCAATACTGCCCCCCTACCTGCAGCCTATAGTTTTTACTTCATTCTAGACCACATCACTCTGCACAATCTGCTGCTATTATGCTCTGACCTGAAGTCACCTCGGAGGCACTTGTAAAAAGAAACCATGTTTCCAGTCCCTGGACCAGTCCTCCTCCTTAATCATCGTAGCAACAGATAGCCAGGAAAAGCAAGTGGGATATGGATGCTGCAACACCGGTCTGAAGAAAAGGCATTTTCACGAGGAGCATGGGCACCTTCTTCACCATTCTTCACTCCTCCTCACATTCACTCTCAAGATCTTCACCTGCTAATTCAGAGTCCAGCATTTTCCCCAGCATACACAAACAATATCCAGGAAGTGCTGCCACTGCCACCACAATCTCAACTGCTGAAATCTCCCCAGGCAACAGAATTCACTTACTTAACAATAACTATTACCCGGTAAACACATTCCACATGCTCTCATTTCACTAAACCCAGGGGCCTAAAGCAAAGCAGAACAGGCTGCTGAACACTTTGCACTAGACTCACTCTAAAGGAGTACACGCTGTAGCTTTTTAATGATAATTACTGCCACTTTATTTAATTCCTCTCTCCTCCCTGCTGCTGAATGTGACTCTATTGTGCTGAGCCTAGGTTGGAGGTGGATAGATTACATTCTAGCGGTGTTCCTGCTTTCTCCATCATGAATGCATGTCAACCTGATAACATTAGCTCAGGGAAAATGGCAAGAGATTGTGAATGCAAGCCATATCCACAGAGTTGCCTCCAAATTGATTTCAGCATCTCTCCAAAACAAGATCTAAATTGGAGAACCTTTTCACAATGAAAGTAGAGAA